TTATTCACCAACCGCTGGTAGGTAGCTCCCGCATTCTTTAGCTCGAAAGGCATGACAACGTAACAATAGGTGCCCTTGGATGTCACAAAGCTAACTCTCTTCCGGTCCTATTTGGCGAGAGGTATTTGGTGGTACCCCTGGGATGCGTCCATCATGCTCAACAGCTCGCACCCAGCTGTAGAGTCGACGAGATGGTCAATACGAGGTAAGGGGTAGTGATCTTTGGGGCATGCTTTGTTGAGATCCCTGAAGTCTATGCACATCCTCCACTTTCCTTCTCCCTTCCTTACCATGACTGAGTTGGACAACCACTCCAGGAACTGAATGGGTAGCACATGTCCCGCCTTTAACAACTTCTCCACCTCTGCCTCAATAACCACGTCCGGCTCGGCACCGAAGTGCCTCCTCTTCTGCTTTACTGGTTTCATAGTTGGATCGATGTTTAACCTGTGCTCCGCTACCTCGGGATTGATTCCTGTAAGGTCGTCGGTCGAAAAGGCAAAAACATCCACGAACTCCTTCAATAGTGCAATCAGCGCACCTTGTACATCGGTCGCCAAATGCCGACCCACTTTGGTTGTCTTGTCTGAACTACCTTTTATCAATTAAACTTCCATAAGTTCGTCCTGAGAGCTCATCCCCAGCTCTTGCCTCTTCTCTCGGTGGGAGCTCTCAGGTAGGTCATCCTTCTTTTCCTGTGTTGTGCCTCAACCGTCTTTAAGGTGACCTCATAGCACCGTCGAGATTGCAGCTGGTTCCCAGTCACCTCTCCAACCTCGTCTCCTATAGGGAATTTAATCTTCATGCAATAAGTGGAAATGGCTGCCTGGAACGAATTCAAGCTAGGTCGACCCAGTATGATGTTGTAGGCCGAGCTAGCATCCACGACCAGAAAGCGCACCATCTTCACCTTTCTCAAAGGTGACCTTTGTAACGCCACCGTTAAGCTAACTTCGCCTACGGGGCGAACCTCACTACCGCTAAAGCCATAGAGAGCAGTGTGGACTGGCTCGACTTTCACATCTAACTCCATCTGCTGCAAACACTTCAAGAAAATGATGTCTGCTGAGCTCCCCGTGTCTATGAGCACCTTTTGCACGTCGTAACTGGCCACCTCCGCAGTGATGACCAAAGCGTCATTATGTGGGACAACAAGCCCCTGCACATCGTCAGCCCCAAACTTCAAAGTGGCCGAGCTTCTCTGCACTTGCACCTCGGCCACCTCTCCTGCCACACTCTTTCCCCGGTAGGTCCTCTTCCTCTCCCTATGCGAGTCTCCATCCGTAGGACCTCCCGCGATCATGTGTATTATGCCCCTCTTAACTGGTCTGTCAGATTGCTCATCAGTTCTCCTCCGTTTGTCACCCGACTCTCGCCCCTCCCGACGATCGTCCTGGCGCTCTTTGTCCTTAATCACGAACTCTTTTAAGTGACCAGCTCTGATGAGCCGCTCGATTTCATCCTCCAACTCCCGATAGAAATTTGTAGCATGGCCATAATCGCGGTGGTACCGACAATACCTATCCTTTGACGCCGAGAACTTCCTCGGTGGGGGTAGAGGCTTTGGCTGCGCCAGCAACTTGTCCTTCCCCCGTTTTTCCATTGTCTCCAGGATCTCCTGTTGTGGTGCGTTAAGTGGTTTGTAATGTTCATACCTTGGACCCCTAAACCGATCCTCGACCTTAGCCTCCTTAGGGGGAGCTCGCTGATCACCCTGTCGAGGCCTCTCGTCTACCTGCTTGGCCTTTGTTTTGTCATTTAGGGTGAAGTCCGCCTCCGATTCCTCCATGTTCACATATTTGCTACACCTCTCAAGTAACTCGTCAAAGGACCTTGCCGACCTCTTTGCCAACGAATCTCTACACTTCCCCGGCCTCAACCCCCGCGTAAGGCCTCCAGCTTTGATCTCTTCCGAGGCAGAGGGAACCTCCACGCACTCTTTGGTATACCGCGCTACATACTGCCGCAAGGTCTCCCCCTCCTTCTGCTGCATATTGATTAGTGAGAGATACGTCTTCTCGTGCTTTCTGGCGCTCGCGAACTGATTCAAAAACAAAGAGCTGAATCTTTCGAAGCTATCGATAGACCCAGCTAGCAGCTGGTGGAACCAATCCTGCGCCGACCCCTTCAGCGTTGTCAAGAAGGCTCGGCAACTCACAACGTCACTATATCTGTGCAACGCAGCTATGTTGTCAAACGATCTCAAGTGCCTAGCTGGGTCCGCCGATCCATCATAGGACAAGCTCAACTCCCTGAAGTTGCTAGGCAAATCTCCTCCTAAGACATCCTCGGCAAAAGGGTGTCCTCGTGAAACTACAGGTCTCTTACCCTGCACCCGAGCTTGGAGTTCTCGCATCTGAGCCCCCAACCTTCCAATGTTAGCCCATCTGGTTATGTCGTTGCCACCGGGCGAGAGGTCACCGACCTGGCATCATCCTCATCGCCCCTCTCCAAGCGCTGGTGCTGCTGCTGATGCGAGAGGACCTGTTGTTGTGGTACTAATGGCTGACGTGGCAGAGGTTGTCGAAACGACTCGTTAGGTTCTCTCTTATCCACCTCCTGAGCCCGGCCTATCGCCTCAGCAATGATCTTGTCCAACTCTGACTTGGTCATCTGAATAACCGGGTCTTCCCGTGGTGCCGAAGAAACATTGTCCCCCAGAGGATTATGTGCTCTTACCACGACCAACTGCCTATTACCAGAGACACCATTCTGATCACCAGCACCTCCAGTTCCCAAAGCACCTTGATTCGCCCCCTCATCCACCATGGCGCCCACCTCCTTCGCTTTGTCTGTCAAACCACCTGATCCTCCCTGGTTTAGCACGCGCCCCTCAACTTCTGATGGTGGTACCAGGGTCACACTTGGGCCCAACAACGTCTCTTTGGGGATGACAGGCGATGGTGACCATCCTGGCGGGGGGCCTGTCCCGAAGGCCCTCCGAGCCCACTCCCCATCCATCTCCTTAGTCAAGCTCTTCTTTGAATTATCTTCTGCCATGATACTTGTTCTATTCTTCCTTGGTGAGAAAAAACAGCCTTTAGTGCTACAGTAGAAGACTGATTTTTCCCCACAGACGGCGCCAATTTGTTATGCCACAAACACTTGAACCGCTGGACCGCTTCTCGTCGAACCGGGTTACGTCTCCTTGATCGCCTGTACCTGCAAAACACATCGGGGGTGGGCGAATACTCTGACGCTCAAGTCAGTGGTGGTCCGAAGGAAAAACGGCAGAATAACGAGAGAATTTTTATGTGTGTGTTGTGTAAATGAAATAACCTGCGCCCCTTTTATAGATGAAGTCATGTAGAGGCTGTAGAGTTCTTATCATACCATGAGTCTTCAGATTAGGTCAAAATTCCAAGAGTCCTTGAGGTTACGAACCTCTTTATGACTTGAGTACGATACCCCCTTTAGGCTCTGGTCACCTCCATGGGGCGTCCAGCTACCTAGATGCCCAGGTGCTGCCTAGTTCACGTTGAGCTAGCCTCTGCCGACCACCCACGTACTTCAAAAGGTACCATGGGCTGTGCCTACCAGAACCTCCGCCTACCAGAACCTTCGCCTACCGACCATTCGCCTACCACCCATGTACCCTAAAGGTACCATGAACTGCGCCTACCGGATAGGACCACCCAGTTGAGGGCAACTAGAACCCGGGTCACAACCGTTCCTTCATGAGCCGCTACTAAGGACCACATCAACATTATTATTTTTTAGCCCTAACGAGTCGAGTTCACAAGTGTTTTGTTTAACAGTTCTACTATATATATGCAACTTTAATGAATCTTTAGGTATAACTATAGCTACGTAAAAATCTTAATAAATCTCGAAAGCACGTGATAAAGTTTTAAAATAGTTTTTAATAGGAATTCTCTAAAAAAATAAAAAAAAATCAAAATGTTTTGCACAAAGTTTAAAACGATTCACCCTAAAAAAATCTCAAAGAATAGATTAAATTGCGATCCGGAGACCTTATCCACATATGAGTTTCGATTTTTTATGTTATTTTATTTTATTTTTCTTACTATTAGTAGTGTTCTAAAAGTCGTTAGGCGCCCGTTAGGCGTTTGACTAGCGCTTAGCCCGCCTAGGCGGCGCCTAGTTGGGGTCTAGAAATTAATATTAAATACTTTATTTTTTATTTATTTTAACTACATACAAAATAAAATTATCTCAACTTATGATAAATCGACACACATAAGTCCAAATAATAAAATTAATATATTTTAAAGAAAACATGAGAACAAAATAATGTAATTAGTATTTTAAAAAAAATGCAAAATTGACGTCGAGCCTGTCTAGGAGTACCTAGGTCCGCCTATGCCCGTCTAGACACCGCCTAACCGCCTGGCCGCCAAGCCCGCCAAGTCCACCAAGGCGCCTGGCTGATTTTTTCTACCGATTTGTGCAAATTGGAGACGTCTGGGCACCGCCCAAGGTTTAGGCGGCCGCCTAAGCCGATTTTTTAGAACAATGATTATTAGGCTAGATACCTACGTGACATATGGTAGTATGAGAAAAATTAAGTAAAAAGGAAAATATCAACGGAATATTAAGTTAAAATTACAAACACACACAACTATGACCAGCCAACCACTACAAAAAAAACTCTTACATTACAACGGAAATTTTCCGTTGGAATTCTTTATATTTTCCGTTGGAATAGTTATTCCAACGGATATTCCTACGTATAGAAATTCGTGGGAAAAACAGTTGTTGGAATAGCTAAAATTCATTAGAAAATCCTATGGAAATAAATTCCTACAACTATTCCAACGAAAAAAATCCGTTGGAATTCCTCAACCATCCAACAATTATTCGAACATAAAACTAAGTTTGTTGGAATATTTATTGAAATTTCAACGAAAATTTTTGTCGTTGGAATTTTTCGTTGGAACTGAAGTGTTTTATTGTAGTGAACCCTTAATCTCAACACAGGTACACACATATATATACGGATATATATTGATGTAAAATTATAGCAGCTCTTGATTTACTTAAGAACCTTTTGAGCAGCTTCTGAGCTGGAGCCCAAGACGATTGTTGGCCAAATCGTATTCCACGTAAACATTCTGCATCTGCCACTGACCCAACACGATCGCAGGCCCGTCTAGCTCATCTCCCGTCGTCTCATTATCATCCGACAATATCGTCATGCATATGACCGAGTCGTTCCAATACGAAAAGAAATTTTCCAACGGCACAACCAACTCGACCCCCCCTTCAAAACCGAAACCCATTTTCGGCATACCTTTTATACCCTTTGAACCGATATTATAACATGGCTTGTACGTAAACTCCTTCTCCACCTCCTTAGCCCTTTTGTACTTCTTCCCGACTTGCTTCACAAACTCCCGCACCAACGGTTCGAACACGTGCTTGTCCATGAACGAAACCGTGTACCCCGCCTCCACCATCATTCCCCCGATTCCAGCCTCGTCCGCGACCAGATACTCCTTCGGGACCTCCACCTTGACTCTCCCGACCACGATCTTCTCTACGTCGACATAGTAACACGCGTTTTGCCACGTCGCGTTCTTGAACTTTCTCAACGGAGTGTAGCGAATGCCTTTGGTATCTTTTTTGTTTTGATCTCTTTCGTCGTTATCTTCCCCCCAAGTGAGAACCAAAGCGCCGCTTACATTGTGGTTTCCTTCGTATCGCTTGGAGACAAAACAATGGGAGAATTTCGTGAGATTGAGTTGTGACGCGAGGGACGAAGGGACGCGGCCGAACCCAACGATCCCTATACCTTGTGGCCATCCCTCCGACTTGGAAGCGCACCCAACGAGGATATTGCGCTTGGCCGGCTCCTTCTCTCCTCTGGGTAGGGTTAGGGTCTCGGACAAAATAACCCCCGACGTCGCAATCGAGCCATCTTCGTCGTCGGCGTACTCCGCGAGTTGGTTGGAGCACGAGTCGTCTGAGATGCATTCGGTGCAAACCGGAATTAGATTTGAGGAGACGGTGTTATTCAGTAACGGGTCGTCACAGTGTACCAGAGACGACGAGTTGGATTGGTTAGGCATGAATACGATAATATCCTTGGGGTCGACCGTGCATTTCACGCACGAGTAGTTGGCCTCGCATGGGAACGAGGTGAGGTCGCCGCTACTCGTGAGGGCGAACGGAAGGGTTTGTGGCGGCGTGCCGAAGTTGAGGGGGAAAGTGTACACGCCGTCCCTGCTGGCGAAGATGGGCGAAATGGAGGAGATTTTGCGGGATTCGTGGGCGGCCTTCTGTAGAAGCTGTTGCCATTGGCGGTCGATCGCGGCCGACAGGTGGTGGGTCTTTGTAGGGGAGGAGAGGGATAAAGTTATAGAGTGGGAGTGGGAGGAAGAAAGAGTGAAAAATAGAGAGAGGAGGAGGAGGAGGAACAAGGAGAGATGATATTGTGAAGAACAAACCATTCTTAATTAGTGTGTATAAAGTATAGCTTGCCCTTCTACAAATATTAGTTGATGAAATAAATCATATAAGGCTATGGTATATATAGAGACTAGCCAAGCTAGCTAGTTTTGTCATTTCATGCATGGATCAAGGCTTTTAGCGTATAGGAAATATATTTGAATTCATTGTAATTGAAATTGAGATTTGATATTCTAATAATTTATATGTGTATATGTGATCCTTATGAATAATCCTTGAGTTTTCTTCATTTGCTCCATTTGTTAAAGAAATGCACAATAGAAGGATAAAATGTATATCGATGGGACTTTGAGTTATCAAAAATTTACAGAGTCATCAGATAATTCTTTTATGGATCGAGTCATCCATAACTTTATTGACACATGTCTCATATACATTCATTGCAGGACACATGCCGTTACATTATTAAATTAAACAATTGTTTATATATATATATATATATATATATATAAATTTTTTACATAATTCTGAATTGCAATGATTTTTTTGTTTTTTATTTTTATGTGAACTGCTATTTATTCGGATTAACATGGACACCACTTTCGAAATAGCTCCATATTAGTGCCTACTCTCAGTAAGTCTAATTGCAACTCATTGCTACGAATATAATGATGACTGCATGTGATAATTAGTCATGCAATTTGGAAAATTGTGTACGAATTGAAAGTCGTATGAGGAAACAATTTAATATTGACTATTAGTTTTCAGTATATTTTAAAAATTAATAATTTTATATTGCCTATTAGTTTTCAATAGTTTTCAATTTAACATTTTTAAATATGTATATATTATAATAATAAAACTACCTAATACATTTTAAATTTTTAATAGAATACCTAAATAATGGTTGCTTTTTTCAACTTAATTACGCAAGAAAAAAGAAGGCTTTTGCATTTATCAAACGATGATTACATTCATCTCACTCTCAAATTGCTTTGGTACCTTTTTTTTTGGCTATGTTAATAAGATTTCGTATTACTTTAGAAATGAGTTTTCAAAATCTTTGATGGATAAAACTTGTGGGCTTAGACATGGCCACCGGCCGGGCCGGTCCCTCGTCCCGATCCTGGCCTGGCCCGCAACCGGCTAGTAGGTTGTCGCTTCCGAGAATCGGCACTGTGGCTTCCGTTTTTTTTTTGTCTCTGCTGTCCGAGATAGGGTCGGGTTAACGGATCCGGCCCTTGGTTTTTGGCGGGCCAATTAAGGGTCACTCATTGGAGGCCCGCCGGCTTGAAGGGCCAGCCCGGCCGGGCAAAGACTGGCCATGTCTACGCGGGCTATAGACTTAGGTATTGGCAACATTTTACATATGACAAAAGTGAAAATTATTTTCAGCTAGTTTCTACTTATTATATGGACTTTTGAACGCATTTATTTTCTTACACTACAAGAAAAACTGCATTTGGCAACGCTTATTTTTTTTGTTTACTGACGCTTATTTTTTTCTGACATCAAATTTAGCAACACAACTCGTCAATAAGCGTCATTAATAAGCGTCACCAAATGCAGTACACATGACAATTAATGATATAATTTTGTTTATCCATACAAGACAAGTGTTAGAAGAATAAATCATTTGTTCATATTAGTGTGTAGGCCGTGAAATATATGAGAATCATGCAATTTAGTAAATTGCACCCCATACTAACACATTTAAATTACATTACACTTTTCTACCCATTATATATTTATTTTTAAAATTACCTAAAAAAGCTACAAATATTTTCGATTATACCTAGAATTTAAATTTTAGTAACTTATCATTTAATTAAGGAAGAAACTAATTCTCCTTTACGTTGCAATCAAATCAAATTTTCCTTCTCCAGTTTATCAGACGAGCGATCAAAGAAGAGGATTTCATTTCTCTCAAAATATCACCATCGTACTACAAGATATTCAGAAGGTTATCTACGGCTTACTATATGTATATTTATAGTTCACAAATAAGAGTTTTACCACTAATATCCTCCTCTTGGACAAATCTCGACTCCTCATAATTTTATACTTGTTTTATTACTTTTTTTTTTTTTTTTTTTTTTTTTTTTTTTTTTTTTTTTTTTTTTTTTTTTTTTTTTTTTTTTTTAATTTTGATCACAAATCGATGAATTTTGATCACAAAATTTAAATGTCAATATGTAGGTGTTTACTTTAGGCGCAATTAAAAATATACTTAACGAAAATAAAAGATTTGCAAAAATACCATGGGTTGTTATAATATTGCATTCCTAAAAAATCTGGTTAAAATAATTATATATATGCCAAGATTCAGTTACCATATGTGAAAAGTTGTAACTTATCATTGATAATGGGACCATTTTTCACGTTAAAATAAAAGAGATAAAAACCAACATGGAAAGTAATTAAATCCTGAAAATAAGGAAGGTGGTTGAGTGGAATTAGGAAAGATACAGCTTTTGAATTTCAAATATATACATAATATATACATAAGATATACAGAAAATATACAGACAATATATAAGTCCAGAAAATATATAAAATAAACCAGGTAATTTTATCTATTCGTAAACTTTTTTTTGTGTTATTTACATCTCGTGTATTTTCGGTATATTTATAGTATATTTTATGGTTTGCTACATGCAACATACAATATAGACTTATATACAAAAAATATACACATTATATACGGAGGACATGAATACAAAAATACGAGATAAATCAATCTTGTCATTATATACAAAATATATACAATTGTATATATTGTGGTTGTAGTCAATATATAATAAAAAAAATTAAGTATGGGCCAAATGAGAAGCACACCGACGGAAATATATACTGAACATATACAGTCTATATACGCAACATATACTGCAAAAAAAAAAAATAAATTCTCTCCCTTTTATTCATTGTCCCTGTAAGCACGCCATCAATGGCCATATTCTCGCGGAGCGTCATCGATAGCAACCGCCGCATAGATCATGGGCATTACCAGGGCGGAGTTCATCTTCGTCGCCACTCGGATAAAGCATGACACTCTCAACCTTGTTGTCGGCTAATTGGGGCCGCCTTCCCCAAGCTTAATTAGATCTGGGCGAAGCGTGGTTTACAGGAGAAGACGAGGGCGGCGGCGGCGACGCCGAGGAAGCCAAAAATGTCCAAAACACGGGTGCCGTTTCATCACCTATGAAGATTGACGACATCTTGGTATCGAATTGGATGCTTGAAGAGATTGAATCTAAAGCTTTTTCTTTCTTTCTCGCGCGAGCCTCTGCAGATGTAGAGAGAGAGGTGAATGGCAATTGATCGATTAATTAAGGCCGGCCTTCGATAACAGTCGAAGAGAAGAAGAAGATTATGCGTAGAATTATAGAAGAGAGAGAGAGCGAGCGAGAGAGAGATTGTGTGATAATAAATTTCATTAAGATTGGAAGGTGATAAGTCAAACTTAATCAGTTTTTTTTATATCTGGTAAATTTACAATTATAAAGCTAAAATCGTATATATTTGCAAATATTTGCAATGAGGTTTCATTTATGTGAATAAAACTGATATGTATTGTAAAACGTGTAATTTTCTCTTTACTTTAGCCTAGAATATTGAATGTACATAAAGTCCACTACCATCATTACTTGGGCCTCATTATTTGATATTAGGGTGTCCGAGAATGACTTGTGAGAACTCCCGTCCATGTTTAAAATAAAATATAAAATAATGCTGAAAATAAAATATAAAACAATGAAAGCATAGAGATCCATTCAAATAATACATAAAAAAAATAGAGAATAAATTAAACTCATAAAAGTATAATATTAAATATATAAAAACACATATTTTTATACCCGAGATTTTATCCAATATGAGTTTTGATTATTTTACTTTATATATATGTACATATGAGAAATGATATGGTCCCGTTATGGAACCATTCCGTCAAGTTTGTAATCGTTATATTATGATTTTACGGTTACAAACTCTGATAAAATGGTCTCGTAACGAGACCGCAACATCTCTCATGTACATATATGGGTATCTCTCATGTACATATATGGGTAATGGCCTCATGGGTATAGTCTTAACAAACAAAACTCAAAAGAAATAAATCTCAACGGAATATTAAGTTATGATATCAATAGTAACAAACACTCAGACATGATAACATAGTAAAATTTAGTTAGACATACCGTACACTATTTGCTCTGACAATTATTATCAACAACTATGACCAAACCAAGCCTTATTCACAACACATGTAAACACACAAACATACCGAAATATATTGAAGTAGAGATGTATCTGTTAGAATTTTAGGTACGTAAATATCCAGATTTTCACACAAAGATCAGAAATTAAAATACGCAGCGAAAAATAAATAAACACGAAAGATTTAAAATTTAGTCTACAAGTAAAATCACTTGTAGACTAAGGCACATGCCAAAATATTCACTAGAACAAATTATTCACAAAGTTTTTCATCTAATCTAAAAACATCTAGTGAACTATGAAAAAACACAATACGCGAGTTCGACAATTATAAGCAATATATTATATCAAAAGACAAGATAAAAGATTCAAAGCCGAATTGTCCCCCGTTGTATCTCTGGACATCCACGCAGGCTTCAACTTGTTGCTCTCTCTCAGGACATATGGTTGATGCTTCTATTATTTCTAAATCCCACACATGAAGCTTGTTCTCTAAAGCTCAAGCCTTGCTACAGGAACTTTTGTAGCTGAAGTTTCTCAATAAAATACAATCTCCCTGCCTTGTGCTTTGTCTTGCAAATACGTTCCCTGCTCCGCTTCAAGAATATGGATGCCCTTATACGAAAAACTCACGCAGACACCTCTAATCTTTTCCCAAGCCTGATTCTTCTCATTATTTCCATGATGTAGATTCCATCCTTATCTCTTTCTTTCCAAGCAAGAATCCTATTAAGAAAAGGAAACTATATAATAATAATATACTACCAAAAATAAAAAATTAATATATATATATATATATAATAAACCAGAAAAGCAAAATAAC